TCTTTTATATTCCGCGATATTCCCTTTTCGCATCTGGCTGGTTCGAACTTGCCCTCCCTTCATGGCCGGCGCATCCGCATTTCCGAGTGGTTTTTTGGAAGTTTATCCCATATTATCTTCTATATTATTCCGTAGGCTCGCCACGAAAATAATACAAACAACAATTGTTGCATAAACGGCTCACTTTTTTATGAGTTACCTGGAGAATTTCGGGAATGCACGTCTGGTTCACGAGTGAGAAATGTATGGTATTTTTTCTGCGAGGAACGAAACGTATAAGACTAGATGTTTGTGAATCTCTTATTAGGATTTATGGATATTAGGATAAAGTTTGTATCTTTACATAATATTTATTAACGTATTAGTATTAGTATATTTATTTATAAATATGTTTGTTACAAAAGTATTCGGTAAAGTTACAAAATGATGATTAAACATAGATTTCTAGTAAAATTTTTAATCCTTTCAAAAAAAATCACGTATTTATTTATTAAAACACTAAAAAGTTATTTAAAAATTCTAAATTTTTCTCTAAGTTTTATACTTTTTTAATTAAATAATTTAGTAGCTCTTTGGGAATATTTAGACGGTCAATTTTTTATTTAATATCTATCAATCACAAAATTACTAAAAGAGAACTTATTATTAGTAGAGAACTACTTTTATTCGTTACATATAATTATTAAAAAATGTATATATATATATATATACATATATATAATATATATATATATATATATACAATATATATATAAATTAATTAATAATGAATCTTTTATATATATTTCAATTGCTTTGCCATCCATATAATCGCAAAAATACATATGGGATAATAAGTAATTAATAATAAATCTTATTTGTTTTTAGACTATAGAAGGGAAAGTACTATTTAAAGTATTTTCGCGCTATATTTTGCATAGATCAAGTGCTTTGCATCCGATTCTTTAATATCACCGTCACGCTCCTCGATTTGCTTTTATCATCTGTTTTCTATTCGTATTTCATCGTCTCATTTGTAAGATACGAATAGTTGTATCAATAATAGTGTATATTTCCAAACTTGAAAATAAGATCAAATTAATCCACAATTATCGTTAAATAAATCGAACTATTTTTAAGGAATATCCAATAGTTATACGAATTATCGTTTTTTAATTTTCTACCAGAATTCTTAAAACAAAATTTTACAACGCTGACATATATATTTTTCCATAAATAATTCCAATAATTGATATAATTTAAGTAACATATGCATTTACTGCATGCTAGTATCAATTCCATTGATCGATTAAAAATTATATTGTACGATATAATTACAATACATTGTACAAAATTAGATGAATTATATTAGACGTATAAATAAGTTTTCACGGTTAACTGTAGATGCCGTTGATAATGATATATTTAAATTTCCAGGCTCAATTAATTTTTCATTAGTAAAGTTAATCACTTCTGCATTTCAAAAGTTATATAACAATTCGCAATTAGATACTTAACTACATTTAGTTTAATTGGAAATGAACGTTGAAAGGTACCACTGCTTCATTATTTTCAGCAAAATTGCAGTAAAACCGTCACTAAAGTAACCAAAATAATTTGTAAGACTTATGAAGACAATATTGTATAAAAAGACTGCCAAGATTGGTTTAAAAGATTTAAAAGTAAATTTTAAGATGTGAACACATATACACACAATAAATCAGTTCAGAAGCATTATTTTGTCGGTATATCCTGCCCAAAAGATAGAAAAAAGGATTATAGATTTGAAAGGCAAATATTATACTTTAATAAATTAATGTTTGTGCCGTTTCTTTTATATTAAATTATAGATAAATATATTTTAGAAAAAAAACAGCGAAACTTATTTATACGTCTAATATTGTATGATGAAGTATAGTGAGTTTATTATTTATATTTTTTTATAAAACTTGCAACAGTAATAATCAAGATAATCACGTAATTTTCTTAGTATTTAAAAAAAAATTAAAACGAACAAACTCTATTCTTATAAAATTCTTTTTTGTAAAAATTATCAATTTCTGTTGTAATTTCTTCTTTTTTAATTAAATAAATCTCATATATTACTTTGATATTTTCTTTGTTGGTAATTGTAATCGTTTTTGAATATCGATTCACAACAGACGTGGTAAAAGCATCACGCATATAGGAGGTCGGTGCGTCGCGTCGGCTCTCAGAATCGTCTGATTAACACATCACCTACTCGAGCCCAACTACCTTTTCGCGTCGACTGTATCGCTAATAAGACACAGGTAGTTAGTGCACGAGAGGAGCAGAGCAAGGAAGTGAAGGTAAAAGAGAGAGGAAGACAAGAAGAGAGTGAAAGAGAAAAAGAGGGAGTAGCAGCATCAACGAAAGGATAGGAAGGACAGAAGAAGGGGGAGGAGGGGGTGATAGCAGAGGAGAGACAGAATGAATAAAATGAGACAAAACTGGAAAGATAGAAAAAGAAAAGAAAAGAGAAAGAGAGCAGGCTTGATGATGAGACAGAGCAGAAATGAGACGGTGAAGAGAAGAGATGAAAGAAAAGGAGAGCGGAAGAGGGTGAGAGGGGATAAAGTAACGAGGAAGAACGGTGCCGAAGAACGGTGCGGGAAAAAGGAGAAGGTGAAGGAAGAGGAGGAGGAGGAGGAGGAGGAGGAGGAGGAGGAGGAGGAGGAGCAGGATGAAGCACGAGGAGCTGCGGGAGGCGATGGTCGGGAGG